GGGGGGGGGGGGGGGGGGGGGGGGGGGGGGGGGGGGGAACTGCCCTCCAAAAAATCTAGCAAACCAAGGAAATAGACAACATTGGATACCATTTGTTTACATCGCTGACATCGTTGTCACCCAATTCACAACTTTGGATAAGCCACAGTTACTATTATTGTTCTAGTTTACTAGAGTTTTCGACAGCTCTATAAGTAGCTAATTCATGCTTCAATGTTAATGCACAAATTTCCCTAACGTTGAGCGGCAGCTAACAGTTTTTTTGGGTGTTTTCTCAAACTTATCCATTAATGACTTCAATCGTAAACGTCGCTAGTAGTAGGTCGAAAATCATTCGAAGGTATTTTTTCTGTTTACCTGCGCGGCTGACGACCGACAGTTTTTTTGGGTGAATGCCGGAATACTTAGTAATCGTTGAGTAAAAATATTCAGTTATCGCGAGGTTGCGTAAACTAAAAAATGTTTACAATCATATTTTACTTTCATTAGTCTTAACATTTTAACAGGGGGGGGCTCATTTTGGGAGGCGTTGAGGCATGAACTATCAGAATTCTTTTATAGTCTAAGGTGTCCTAAAAACGATTTCCTGCCAATTAAATTATGTTTTTATCATATTAATTAAAACAAGAAAATACAATCACTACATTGCATTTATTATTTTTTTAATTTGCTCATTTGTCAGAATCATCCTGGATATAAGGGAAAATAGCATTAACCATTAGCTACTGATATGTGACCTTAAAAATCAAATAGAAATAAATTGGAACAGTAGTTGAATGTGTTTCAATTATAGAACAATGCCAAATCTTATTAAATTAAAAACATTTTTAATATTTTCAAATACTATTTCAGTCTCTTTCAGGCTGAGCTCCTCCCCCAAAAAGCCTGAAAGGATATATATTATTCACCCCCCCCCCCCCCCCCCTGAGTCCCATTCCACTACACCACTGCTTTCAGTTTCTCTTTGGCAGCAATCTCATGACAGAAGAAATAATGAATGGTCCTTATATTCCATAAGAAATGTCAAGCATGTGGTTTGCAAGGAAGATCGAGGATTACTTAGCGTATTTTAACACTATAAGAACGTGATAATTTTTGAGATTACGCCTTGCATGGAATGCGATTGCTATCTTTGCGTTAGTTGCGCCGTGTGTTAACATTGACAAACGACTTAGGGAAGGACAAACAGCTTACAGGAATCCCATGAAATGCCAATACTGTCACTAATACTCACTATAAATAACATTAATAAGACTTCTTAACTTGGAATATATAACACTTCATTACATAGTGCTATCGCAGTAAATTTGGTTGTTCTTGCATATAAGTTCCTCGTAGGAGATACAGATTATACTGATACAAAATAGGTTTAGACAACCAGTCCAGGGAGGGCCTCTAATTAAGCTCTGAACAAAAAGTTGATTGGATTCCATTGGACTAATTAAAGATATTAAGTATAGCAAATAGAGGGAGATTATAGAGATAACCTTATCATTTGATCCTCACGTGGTGAATTTTGCATTAACTGTTTCCAATTATGCTATCTAAATGTGGATATACCAAGATTAACATTCCCTTTTAAGATTGAAATCAGTAAAAACTTTTTAAGCCTTTTAACAACTAGATATGAAAATGTTATTCGCAGTTGACCGGCCTCACCGTAGTCACCGAAATCAAAACTTCAGCAATTCGTTCGTACGTGAAAATGCATTAAATGCACCTGACAATCAATATTCTCCCAACTAATTAAGTTAAACACGATTTTTGCATGTCTGCACATTGTCTCAACTTTTACACTGTCTTTACGTCAATGAGTCCCGTAAGCTATGAATTTGTGAACAATGGTTTTTAGTATTAAGATTATGACGTCGGTATAATGAAAATTTATCCCAATTCTATAAATTGGATCGGATTTTTGGGTCTAACATTAAAATATTTTTCAAAACGGTAACACTTCAACACCTTCTGAAATTGGGCAGCAAGTGTACGTATTTCCAGTCTTACAGAAGACTTCAAGTTTTATAGACACTGCCGGAAGACATAGGACTGTTTTTTGGTACAAATTTACTATGACTGCACAAAGTTCTTACTATATCCTTTTTAAACTGCTATAGCAGGGTGGACAATAGCCCCCTTCGATTCTGCCCCTGGAAAAATAGGCCCAAATTTTCAAAAATGTTCCCCTGGACTACCCATCCCCGGCATAAAATCAGAGGCAAAAAATCAATCTGACTTTCTAAGATCCATATTTAAAGTCTATAATATTAAAACTTATCCATGCATTTAAAGTTAGAAACATACATTCCCTCTTCAATGTCTTCCATATATCTCGCGCATTTGGCAAGCCTGGACACTCCGAATTTTTCCTACTGTATTTGCATGGAAGAAAACATTTTTCATTTGCTCCCCTCCCCCTCCGTTTTCTCACGCACACTGACATACAAAAGGTTGAATTTGTTTGATTTGATTTTCAATGTTTGCTAAACTGTTTGTCAGGTCAAATCCTTAACAATTGGAAACAAATATTAAAGATTGACGGCCAATTTATTTAATTTTTCCAGAAGGAACATTTCATGATAGCTCTTAAAGTTTAAACTGAAGTGTTTGTGCGTATTCGTCAGTACAATGGGTCTCAAGAGAACGATTCTAATATACACCCAATATTGCTATAGATAATTTCAGCTTATTGAACAATACTAGTGTGAACCATTGTATGCGTAAGAATACACTGCGATTATAGTTACAATGTGACATATGTCAGTGAAAACAAACAACAGATCGCATTGTTTATGTTCGTGAGCACATTTTTTCATGAGCGATTATAGTACTTAATAAAATAATTCGATTTATCTGATCAAATGTGGGACGAAACTTCTCACATATCTATGTATATGCGCGCAGATTTTGGTATCACAACAAAAAGCAACAAAATAATCCCCAACATTAGCATAATATGCAAAAAGGCTTTATGAGAAAAGTTAATTTTGATATAGTAATGACTATTACCGTATACAAATATCCTGTTTTACACGAAGATCAGGTTTGCACTATTAAGAAACATCCGATGATACATTAGGACTATATACGAGTCATCTTTATTTTCCAAACGTGCGTGGGCTAAGTCTATAGATTTTTGTATGAGAATTAATGAAAGTTTTGGCAAAACTCCTTTCAATACAACCTAAAATATCGGTCAGGTAAGTGTCTATTGAATTTGGAATTCAAACGGATTAGACTAGCTAGCTGTGTTGTGCATGCCTTGATAATTAAAATTTCAACTCGAATCGGATTGACTTCTGTACTCAGTCTTTTCCCACCTTTCCGGGGAGAAACTGTTTAACGATTGAAGAGAATCTTGAATGAATTTTGAATTTTTCAGTCGATTTGTGCGTTTGTTCCAGTCTATTAGTGAAAACTTAGTCAGTCTTGAACAGTCTTGTGGATTAGAAAACGCATGACAAGCAGTCTTCATCAGTTGAGGATTCGGAAAATATTTCACTTCAGCAGTCAAACGGAAGGGATGAATTTTAATCGAACACGGTAACAGGATTTTAATAAGCACAATTCGTATATGGACTTTGTGTTAAACACTTTCCCAACAGTTTAATTTAAAACTGACCTTTTGACATGTGGATTTATTTAGTTCACTTTACCTGACAAGAAAAATTTTCGGGAATCAAGAACAAATTTCATCCGAATATTTTTGTACCTCGAAGGCAAGGAAACGAAACTTAAACATTAATTTTCTTGATATACGAGACAGGGTTACATTATAAGCGATTAGTAAACGCTACAAAATATCAATTTCCTGCCCGCTAAATCAGCGCTAAAGACGCTAACCCAATAATTAACGAGCATACCAAACCTAATCAGAATGTTTAGAAGCAGGTGGAATTCATGGACAATATCATGTAAAAAATGGCATGCAAAAATTATGCGTCGTAAGTATATAAAGAGCCCTTCAATTATCCAAAGTGACTCGTGATAGCACTATAATATAGCTCAAGTACAATAACATAATCATTGCATAAGAATTTAAGAATCATATATATACTAACAAATTCCATTCGGTTTCTTAAATGACATAAATGCTGTACAAGTGTCGTAATTTTGCCATTCATTATTGTCAAAATGAGCAACTTCGTATGGCGAGTATCAAATAGCAACATTTTTTAATTATAAATTTATATACTCAACTTGAACATTGCACGTAAAGTCGGTAAAGAAATTAAAAAAAAAAACCTCGAAACTTATCGCGATATCGTATAATTATAAATCAGCCCCAAGCGAAACTGTGCAAAAATTTGGCGAGACTCTATTATATGCCAATATACCCAGTCTGCTTCAAACAACTACAGCACACATCTGGTGTACACAAGTGGCAATTTTAACAATACAATGCAACCTACAAGTTAGCCGTTCCGCACGGGGTATTAAACAACAAAGTATATAGAGACAAAACAAAGTATTTTACTGATTACATGTCATAAAAAACGAAACTTACGATTTAGTAACATTTATGAATCGTACCTTTTTATATTGCTTGATATCTCGGATTTTCCGTAGACACGCAGACGGGCATCTACGGCCATTTCTTGATCGAGATTTCTTTGCCTTTGGCTTCGCTTCGGCATCACAGATGTCTATGATCATGCATGTAATGAGACATAGAGTCAAAGCCAGTTTCATTAACCGAGCCATGTTGGTACTCCCACGGAACCAAGTTGAGACTAAGGCAATCAAATAAAAATTGTGTCGAGAGTTCGTGGTTGTCATACGTCGTTCGCTTGTTATCAAACTGTAGATCTAATGATAACAAAGAGTATGTGACAATTAGTACCGCAAGTCTCATTTGAATTTCATAAATTGCATAATCAGGATTAGCCAATGAGGCACTGACTTCAATCATTCCTGTTTTGACCTGGTCGACGACGTAAATGGCAGAGCAGAAGCGCAGTGGGGGGCTCATGTTATTTCCAACCCAAATACAATGTCAGAAGGTCAGACCTCACCTTTATCACAATATGTATTTAAACATATTTGACAGCAATTATAAACTATCGCGGTGTGTTATTTGCCGGGACTGTAATTACAGCAAACATTGCGCAGAAAAGCCTTCTGAAGTATGCCGAAATGTGCATTATATTGTCCTATAGTTCACCACTTTATTGTATATATGTTTCCTATGTTGAAACGCATAGATTTGCGAGATAGCGTATTTTGACACTTTAAATATTAACGTTTAATTATTCCAGCCATCAGTCTTCACGCATGCATCCAGTTACATTGTATTAAACTGCCATATTCGGGGCCAGAAGCGGAATATTGAATATTGAATGCTGACTTCTAAACTATGGTTTGAAAATAAATATTTGTGGTAAGAATTAATATGAATGTTTCGGGTGGGAATATGTGTATTTTTAGTAAGAATATGAATATTCGAAGTAAATTGGAATGAGCATCCCCCTAAGATAGGAATATTGAATAGGATAGATCAGGGCTCGAATTTTATCGCGGCAATTGCCGTAGAGGGAGAACAAAATGCCGTGGATCATTGCGGCAACGACGGCAATTTTTTGCCGTATAGTGCAATTTTTATCTTTGATACTTGAATTCAGATGTTGATCAAATCATGCGTAAATCACTATTTTAGTCTCAAAATACTGTGGAAACTGCCAAAATTGCCGTAGACAGCTGTTACGTTCCACGGCAATTTTTAACGCCATTGCCGTCGATTGATTTCAGGGAAATTCGAGGCCTGGGATAGATATATTGAATGTCTAAGAAAAAAAATTGCCGACCATGCCATACTTCTTATATAAGGCTCGCTTTTGCTGCGATTTCTTGTGCGATTTCCTAATTCTTCTGATGGATGTGAACGAGTAGATGAGTTATGAATGTTCTGCGTTTATCAGCTGTCACCTCATCTGCATGAACATTCATAACTCATCCGCTCGTTCACATCCATCAGAAGAGGAAAATCGCACCTAAAATCGCAAGTGTATAAACGGGCCTTTAAGCTACCCAAAAATACGAGCAGAATTGCGACGCATCAAGCTTAGGCCTTTCGTGAAGTTTGCTCACTTTTTCAATGCCATGGCAACGCAATTTGCATGCAGCAAAGATTGGTCTCGTGTAACATACCCGTTGGAATTGAGACGTCTATTTTGTGTAAATATATCGTTACTTTAGTCTAGGGTACTTCTTGTATAGTATAATACTGTACCAATGAGGATATTTCTGGACGCATAAATGACTCAGTTTCCCATTACGGACCTGCGCAAGTCACGTGCGGATTTAGTCGATCGCGCATCGTGTGTGCACGCCAAAAAGTGAATGCAGTTCAACTTTCACAGCGTTTTCGCGCGAGAGCTAAAGCGGACTGAAAACCGCGTATATTCAACAAGTTCGCTCGTCCCATACTGGCAAAGCGACCGTACAAAGGGCAAACGGCCTTCAGAAACTGAGCTACCATTATAAAAATATATATATAGATATAACGTGAACTGCCGAGATGCCGCCTACGCTCGCCAAGTGTGAATTGTTTTTACAAGCCGTCAAACAACTGTTTTAGTAAATATGTGAAAAACACATTCACGCACAGACGCCAAACACGGGTATGTTTACGGCAAAATAACAACTCAAGGCGAGATTTAAAATTAACACCTATCTTTTTATTCGGCGTGTTTCAGAAATAACGCGAGTGCTGGGAGTGTATTGTTTTGTATTGTCTTCTTTGTCCATCCCTTTTGTATGGCGCCCTTTTTATCATCAGACCGCAAATTGCGTTGTGTGGTTTAAATTAGCAACAATTAGACTAATTTAGCATATATGAAAACAATAAGCTCATCTCAATAAAGTCATCCATTCATCAGTTTTGGGCTTGTGCTTAATGATCCCTGTTGCCAAAACGTCTAACACAGTGAGATATTTTTAATGTATTGAAATAAGTCACAGTATGTCTGCAGTTTAAATTAGTAACAATCCCACCAATTTAGCTCGTATGAAAACAAACAGCTCAGCTCAACAAAACTGATTCGCTTGTCAATTTTGGGCATGGCGCATAATGGTCCCTCGTCGAGTCAGACACTTTGGATGTATTGTGTTAAGCCCCCAAATATGATGAGCTAGAGTTGATAACAGTTGATTCAGTGTGACCAGATTTGGTAAAATATTTTACTTGTGAACTGTGGTAAAATTTCGGAAATTTTGGAATTTTTTTAGTAAATTTTAATGATTCAGCATTTTTGGTAAAAATTCGTGTTTGAATGGTTTTTGTGTAATATAGAGATACTAAAAGGATTCAGTAATATGAAAGTTTAATTTCTAGCCGGCCAAACCCGCTAATTTCAAGCATGATATAGATCATATAGGAAATTAGTGGTCTTTCAGGCTATAGTCAACCTTGATTGTCTTGTCAAAGCCGACGAAAATATTCAGTACCTGCCGCATTAAGCTAATACTTTTAAAATATTGATCAACCTCGTCCCCTGCGTATACTGCAGTTATCACGGATTTTTATTAACCCGCGGGGTGGGGGCAAAATTTGGTACAATTTTTCGGGATTTAGTACATTAATATTTTGAACAACAAAGCGGTTAATAATAACCTCTGGAAAAATCTGGTCACACTCGGTCGGTAAGAGTGGCAAGTAGTGGCGAAGCTAGACATAGCAACAGATCATGATATGCAAATGTTTAATAATTTGCATTATTAGAAATGTATTGAGCATATAGCATGACCAGCGTAGAACACTACTTCGGCAACTCCCAAAATTTGGGAGTTGCCGAATGGACCAAATGGTACATTTGGGACAAATGATGCGTTCTGATAAATTGCAGTGAAACCGCTATATATATGTCAAAAATATGCATATCAAAGACAAAGTATTCAGCTGTTCAATTACCATTTATGTTTCACTTAATAGTAGCATAATAGAACTGCATTAAATATTTTTTGTAGTAGCATCATTTTGTCTTCTGTATGCAGCAAAATAAACTGAAAAGTGTATATTTGTATAGGGTGCCTAAGTTATATATATTGGTAATTTAAAGCGAATCAACCGTACCGGCGGAAACGGCTAATCGTTGATTATGCAAATGATTGAACAGTTGAATAATTTAGTGATGTGCATATTCCACATTATTCCAATCTCAGCTACATGTATGTTATATAGTTAAATTGCGATTTCATCCGAATTGCTAGTACTATTGGAAACTCCGAATTGGTTTAATTCATTGCAGTTGAATCATAACATGTATGGCTAAAATTGCATGCGTCATAGACATATAGTATTCAGCTGTTCAACATTATTTGTATATTTCATTTGCCACAGTAGAACTGTCATTAAATAATTTTTGTACTATATGACTCTATGGCTATGAGCATATTTTGACTGTCCTCGGCTCGTCTGTGCATGTAAAGCAAAATAGAGAAAGGTACACTCAAGGCAATATATATTTTTTGTAATTTGAAAGGGAATCAACCGCTTTGAGTAACTTTTTGCATATTCAAACTGTGACATACTTGATATGCATATACATTCGGCTAATTCTAATTCATTCAACTGCAATTTTCCCGACGTAAAACTGCATGGCGTGCGTCATATGGATGCGCAGTGGAAACAGCGCAGCTCGGTAACTCGTATTGTAGATCTGATGGATTGGATTTTCTTCATTTGACGATGAAATGTAGCGAAATTATACAAAAGCCGTGAGAGTATCAGGGATCGTTGGCTCAAAACTGATGAATACTGCCGGTGCTTCTTTCCTATGTAAAATCACATGCATCAGAAGGACTTACAATTGCATCCAACAAGAAATTCGACTAATGTGTGAACAGCGGAAACTGGCGACAAAAAGCCTAGCATCCGTTTCATAAATAATCCTGAATTACTTGAAATGACAAGCTAAATTTCTGATTAGGCCTAGTGTTTAATTTCAGGAAGGATATGGGACATCTCAGAACAGAAGGGTATTTCATTAATTCAATCAGTGAATTTTCAGTGTTAATGTCAATAATCTTTCATTAGCCACCAGTTTGAATTAACTTTCAAAATAATTCGGAAAATTAAGTTATAGCTCTTCCGTATTTCTTTCACTGACCTGTAAAAAACTAGATCCATGCACTTTTGGAGCTTAAAATTGCTGTTTTAATAAACTTAATATGTCGTATTGTTAAGTGATATATAAAGTATGAGCAGCTAGCCCACCGATCTGTATCTGCATGATTTCGTGGTACGATATACGTTACGCGGATTGAAATAAAAACAGCCTTTTAATTTTATATATATATATATATATATATATATATATATATATATATATATATTATATATATATATATATATATATATATATATATATATATATATATATATATATATATACTATATATATAATATATATATATATATATATATATATATATATATATATATATATATATATATATATATATATATATATATATATATATATATATAGAGAGAGATATATATATATATATATATATATATATATATATATATATATATATATATATATATATATATATATATATATATTTTATATATATATATATATATATATATATATATATATATATATATATATATATATATATATATATATATATATATATATATATATATATATATATATATTATTTCCAGGTTGATTCCTGATGATTTCTGAATCTTATAGTCGAAAGCTAGAATATTAAAATGTTTATTTTCGGAGTTACCGTTGTTTTATACAGTCCGGTTCTCTCTCCTATCATGCACAACTATATTTGTCTTGTAATCTTATCGTTGTTTAGTTTGTTATACATAATATTTCCTTGTACTCTTGAAAAATATGTAAATTGTGACAAAGCAATTAAACTATACTGAACTAAAACTTCAACATTGTATTTCAGATAAAAACCTCTGACATTCCTCTCCGAAATCCAGATGCTTCGTCACGTCTTAGCTCCCATAGCACGTTCGGTAATGAAAGACACATCATCAAATAACCGTTACCGTTCTGACATGATCCACAATAATAGACTTTAATTTGCGTAATAAAATATGCCTAACTTCCTTTACATAATGAAGCGGTGATGATACGAATTCTTTCCGGAAACCCTAATCTTATACTTATATTTACATATGGGCAGATCTTAATCATGCATTGACAATTCAAGACATTGCGCGATAACTTTAGAGAGATTGCACTGATAAAGGAAATATTCAAGATTTAAGGGATGACACAAACAATAGTGCATGTGTCAAAAGTTTGAGATAGAGACCTTATATATATGCATATACGGCCAAAATGTGACGACAACGGCTATTAATACAATGAAATTCATGTTTTAAGAAAAGAAATGAATAATTAAAAGCCAACAGGAGGATTTTGACGCCTTAGCAGTGAGTTTGGGAATAAACTTGCTTGGAGCAAAATAGATATATTACTATAAAGCTTTACTTGCCTGTTGAAAGTACTCGACTGAGTGCTATCGCGGGGCTCAACCATGGGGGGTCAGGGGGCATGTCTCCCTTGCGTTTCCGAAGCCTCGAAAGAGCATTTTTCACGTTTCCTGAGAGGAGTTTTATTCTAAGTTCGTGTATTTAATTTTTTAGTCCACTCTGTATATCTTTTCACACCCTGAAGCATGCATGAATTGGTTTTTCTCCCTATTGATATATACACAATATCAATGTAGCCTAACAACAAATTTAAATTTCTATTACGGATAAGTTGATTCAGCAATAGATAATTCCAGCTATCGACTAATTTTTATCTAGACAAGAAAGACGAAATCTATCATTATAGCTCAAAAGAGCATCCTAACATTAGTAAAATGGCAAAGTTTGGTTGCGAAATGTTGTAAAATACGGAAAATATAGCCATGTGAAATTAGTGAATTTTCAGTATTTTTAATAGACTAGTATTACGCGCGGTAAAAATAGCCACTTTCGGCTCAAAAATGGTTATTTTTACCGCGCGTAATACTAAAATACTGAAAATTCGCTAATTTCACATGCATGACTATATTTTCCGTATTTCAAAACATTTCAACCTGACTTTGCAATTTTACTAATTTTAGGACGCTCTTTAGTTTTGAGCTATATGTATTTCGTCTTCTTGTCTGGATAAAAAATTAGTCGACAGCTGGAATTGTCTGTGCAAGAAAAAAACAAAGTATGACTGAAGAAATACAATCCTGCCATCCTGGATCTGTTAACATGAGAGTGTTTGGTTGTTTGTTCATGGCTCCACTATTGAGGGAACTTCTCCTATTTATTTTTATAATAAGCCAATATTGCCCGACTGTGAAGCATGTATTGCCCAACTGGCCTAATCTGCCCAACAATCTGGGGGCAGCTGCCCCCCCCCCCCTGCCCCATACGCCTATGAAAGTACTCAATCTAGACCCTCTATTCAGATAAATAAGCGAAATTATGGGCATCTATCGGTCTCTGGCCTAAGGAATGTTGCATGCATGTACAGCAATATACAAATATCCATTCTCATAAATTATTCTAGATTTCTAGTGCATATTCTAGACATTGTTCACAACATGTTAGCAGTAATTTTTTTAATTTTTTTATTAACTTTACAATCAATAACATATATTAACAAATGATTGAAGCCAAAGGACAACAGATCTTAAATAAGATCCAATTAAGTCACACCAAAACTATTTCTACTAACATGCATGCATAACATTTACATGTTTGTTAATCTAACTTAACACTTTATCTGGCTAGAACAGTCTTTTTGTCTTAACAGTGTGTAAATGATTTTTTTTTTTAATTTTTGTTACAGATTACACGTTTACGAACAACAAGTAATGTCAAAGGAGCGACACTTTGTACACAAAGATTTCCAAGTTCTTGGTCGATCGACATCGAAATCTAAGCTCAATTTCTCATAGTAGTAGTGGTATAGTTTACTTTTGAGCGAAGAGAAGGTTAGCGATGATTTAATAGTTGATGATAGGTTGTTCCACATTAGAACCACTCTGTTCATGTAAAATAAAAGTTTCTGAAGAAAGATGTTCTGCATAAATTAGGTCGGAGAGTATTGGCTGTGCTAAAGCGAGTCTGGTGATGAAGTGGTTGAACAACATAGTCCTCGAGCTTTAAGTCAAAATATCCTACTTTGCATTTAAAGAAAAACGTTATGTCCTTTATTTCAAACCAGTACGATATTGGGATATGGTTTAGTCTTTTCAGGCGTTCCACGTATGTTAACCTGTAGTCTTGCAGAATAAATTTAGTCGCGCGTCGTTGTATTCCCTCAATGCGCAGTAGGTCTTTCGACGTTGTTTGTGGTGCCCAAAGTTCACTACCATAACATAACTGAGCTCGAACAAGCGATATATTTATGTGCGTCGGGAATTTACATCTGTTGGATGGACGGCACAATTGCGACGTAGAAAACCAAGCATACGGTTGGCCTTTGCTACAACATTTCGGATGTGCGACCACTTTAAGTCGCTGCTTACAGTTGGATACCGAGATCTCGTTGAGTGGATTTATTAAATGGGATACGTTCGTTGTTAAGATGGTAGTCTGGTTGTTGGATGGATCTCTTTCGTGAAAATCTGATTATTGAGCATTTCTTATAATTAAATTTTAAGTCCCAAGTAGACGACCAATTACAGAGCGGGTTAATGTCAGACTGTAGAAGGTTGCTGTCTTGTGAATTGTTAATAGATCGAAAACATTTGCTGTCATCCGCAAACATGGGAACCAAACTGTTATTAACCGACTCGGGAAGATCGTTTGCGTAAATTAGGAAAAGCAAAGGCCCGATGATACTGTCTTGTGGTACTCCAGATGTTACGTCCAGGTACGTAGAAGAAAATCCGTCAATTACCACGCGCTGCTTTCGCCCCTTCAAGTAGTCAGAAAACCAGTTCAAGAGTGTACCCGAAATCCCAAATTGGTGAAGTTTAAATAAAAGCTTGTCATGGGGAACCGAGTCGAATGCTTTGGAAAAGTCGAGGTAGATCATGCCCGTTTCTTTTCCAGAGTCAAGTGCTTTACCGACATTGTGGATCACACCAAGGAGTTGAGTAATGCAGGCCCGACCTGTACGGAAACCGTGTTGTTGATCATGTAATAGAAGTTTAACAAAATCAGAAACTCGGACATGGATTGCGTGTTCAAGGCCTTTGGGAAATCAGTCATAATAAGGAGATTGGTCGATGATTACTGATCACATGGGAGTCGCCACTTTTAGGGACAGGAACAACATTTGCTTGTTTCCACTCTGTTGGTACTTTACCGAGAGATAACGACATGTTGAACAATGCTGTTAGAGAGGGATCAAGCACACCTGAACACTCTTTCAAAAGTCTAGTGGCTGAAATTCCATCGAGACCTGTAGCCTTTGCTGTTGATAGGTTGGATAGCAACGCATTAACTTCTTCGACTGACACAGTAATCGTATCAAGTTGGTCCTGTACTGATACGGAGGTAGTACACAATTTCTATCATGATTTGTTGCTTGTGTTTTACGTATGTCATTTAATTACCATGGAAACAATTTTCAAAAAGATATTTTTATCATATAAGTTTTGGTTTAGTGGAAACACCACGTACTTTTCATATTGCAAAGCTTGGATCTCCATGAGTGCTAATAATATCAAGTGATATTTTTATAGTTGAGTAAAAATCCCACACATGTGTTTTTACTCTATAAACTGATTATCAATTAACTTAATATTAAAAAATTTCTATGCCTCTTCCTGCAAAATTTAATTTATGCAGGGATGGATCCAGCCAGATGTTGTAGGGAAAGTATTCAAAAGATTTGGTCATGGTTCAAGGTGTGACCGGACTGAGTGCGTAATTAGAGAGGTTAAGATACCCTGGTTTCGGTGTACGTGTACGGGTAGCATGATTTTGGTTAGCAATATTTTCGTCGATTTCCGTAGCTTTACTCGTAATTAAGGTGCACATTTTTCGCATTATATCATTGTCTATTGCAAGAAAACAGAAAAAGTATGATCGAATTACAGACATCAGTAAAACAAGATGACACTACTCGTATCCGTACACCGAAACCGGGGTATCTTACCTGTTACCTGTCTCCTTCGCGCCCTAGGTGGCACATAAGGCCTCAGCAGTTTTCCTCCATTTCGTCCTGTCCACAGCAGTCACCCTCGCCTCGTCCCATGATCTCAATCCAGCCTCGACCCTTTCTTTCTCCACTGTCCTGCGCCATGTTGTTTTTGGCCTTCCCCTCTTTCGTTTCCCTTCTCGTGCCCAGGTCATAGCCACATTCATGAGATTATATCTGTCTTGCCGTAAAATGTGTCCTTAACCTCTCTATTATTATTAAAGGGAGCTACGGCAGCAAGGCTTTGCACTTTTTTCAAGGGTAGTTATATCTCTCGCAATCCGCAGAGATCAAATTGCAGAAGGTAAGTTCTACAAGTTTTCGACAGCTAATTAGCTATTCATGCTTAAATTAAAATGCACAAACGAGCCGAATAAACCACGTGATGTCTCAAATTAACTGTGTATGTTTCTTAAAAAGCGACGCCATATTTCCACAATGTCCCTCTTTTCAAATCAATTGAATACAGCTCGTTCTCTAATTAAACTCTTGAATCAAATTACTTCAGGTATATGGATCGTTCTCAAAATTAATCCCGGTATCAAATCACTTGAATATGCATGGCTCGTTCTCGATATAAACACTTGGCCTTGTATATCAAATCACTTGCGGTATAATGGCTAGTTCTCGATATGAACCTAATTTGCATCAAATCTCTTGTGTATTGTGCCTTCTCGATAACAATTGGTCTCCATTCGTATCGAATGGACCAGCTCTAATAATTTCCCTTGACTATTAGTCTATTACCACACGAAATCCACGAATCGTACGGGGTAGATTGAACAATATTGGAAAACCCATCTCGTCTCTATTTTATTTTTTTGGAAAACCCTCTCGTCTCTGTTTTTGGCATCGCCTTTCCAAATCGAAAAAATGGACTTGGTAATTATCAGCCGGAAATTTGCACCCTCTTTGCAGTAAGTCCACCCCTGAACCTATGATGTCATAGAACCATCAAGTTCAGAAGAAATCAACAACTAAATACATTAATGTACAAAGTTAGACACAAAATGGCCCCTTCTTCCTTAAGTAATATGTTTCAAAAAACGAACGAGGTCCATGAACACCAAACGAGACAAGCCAAACATGATTTCCTACCACCGAAGCCTAAAACAAATTACCTGAAAAAGGCATTTAGCTATAGAGGTGCAGTGGCCTGGAATAATCTACCAAGTGAAATTAAAAATTCTGAAACTGTTAATATTTTTAAAGCAAAACTCAAGATTATCAATTGAGTACATTTTAATATTGTTAGTATTTGTTACATTAGTAAGTAATATGTATGTTGAATAGTCTATATGTATATTAATTTGTAGATAGTGTTATAAGATAGTTAAACACACGGGCTATTTACTGTCGTTCCAATTGAAGTGTTGCTCAAATATTGATTCAATACATTACCTCGGGCTGACCAATTCATTTGATCAAGTTCTTCGAGATATTCATACACTTCCTAGTATAATTGTAAACTTCCTGTTGAATAGTTTGAATGCACCAATCACCTTTGTTGTTTGTGCAACTAACCAATCATAAATAGAAAGGAAGTGACCAGAAATGATCAAATACTTGGAATTGGCTCTTTCACAGGAAGTGCGGTATGAATATCTCGAGGAACTTGATCAAATGAATTGGTCAGCCCAAGGTAATGTATTGAATCAATATTTGACCAACACTTCAATTGGAACGACAGTAATAGGAAGATCACATTTTCCTTTTCCTTTTCTTTTATACATAATTAAATTAAATTTAAGTAGGCCTAGTTTGTGAAATAGTACCGTGTTTAAATAAAGTTTAATAATAATAATAATAATAATAATAATAATAATAATAACCCCAATATAAAATTTTACTTTAGACACTATAGCCACTTCTTTTCATGCATATACAAGTTGTCCCCCAAAAAGCTGAGTTCTCGTTTCGAATTTTAACTCTGAAAGGAATGTGGCAGTAAAACTTCTATATTTGTGAAAGCTTATTCATTCAGCTTTCCAACGGGCAACGGTGGATCATTTGTGAAATTTGAGCGGCTGGCTGGCGAGTTATGTTTGTTTAAGTGATCGCAATTGGAGAATTAAAAATGAAGATCCATTTAATTTACAATTTATTCTATTTATGTTACAATTTATTCTACGTGGTCACCGTTTCTAAGTTAATCGCAGAGATTTGCTCGACGTTGCATTTCCAGAACTACTCTCCGTACAAGTTCTGTGCTTTCACGCAGAAGATTTGCCTCATTTCGGATCCTCTCTCGTTGGTGTCTTGCGGTGGCGTGTGGTAAACTTTGTCCTTGAGATAGCCCCAAGGAAAGTAATCACAAGGCGCCAAATTTCCTTATTTTCAATAAGGAAAGTTCTTTCTCCTACAGTTAATTGTGGCATGATGTTTTGTATTTGTATAGTTTAGTTAAATTGCTGCCTAGTATCAACATAAACATTTCAAATTTTAGAAGGTTTTCAAATACCGAATGGCCGACATCAAAAAGTTCATTTTCAGTGCATCTCAAAATGACCGCTTGCGCTAAAATCTGATTTGTGTTTTTATTCTTTCCTTCAAATAGTTAAAAGAGATATTGTTGGGAAGAAAAATGAACATGCTTTATAAAGTAAGATAATTAGATAAAAGTCACTTTATATGATCAAGTTATCTTTGAATAATCAACCTTAGAAGTTGGACTTAGAGTTAGAAGTTTTTTTGGAACACCTTGTATATATAATAGATATATTCGTGCTGTTACGACCGGATATTTAAGTGTTTATATAGTTAAAGTATGTACTTGACGAGCAATATATACAGCAACGATGAGTGTGACAATATAAAACTACATCGTGCATGAGGAACTTATCTTTTTTACAAAATTCATTTTCACCTCGATTTGTTTGTGTGTGTTTCTTTGTTGATCTGTCAGAAGAATACCTCAAAAGTTATGGAACTGCAGTTTAAGAGGTCGTTGGCAAGAACAACTTTTTAAGTGAAATTGGGCGTGTGCACTTGACATTCGCCTGACTGGCATGCGTCTCTGAGTGCCTGCCATTTTCAATTAAAGACAATTAATATCTTCTATCTCGAGTGCTGTTTTTAACCTATGCTGGATGACGTTATAGCCTTTCAAGAATTTATTTATTTTTTGCTGATTAACTCTGGATCATGACCAACAAGGAAGTGGTTGGCAATATAGAATGCAACCGAAGCAAGTTTTACAAGTGTGTTCTTTCAGCTTGTACGTCATCACAACAACACGAGTTCTGTCCATTCAAGATTTATAGAAAAGGGCACGTATAGTCATATATTGTCATGCGTTATAGTTATTGAAAATAACGGGCGGACAATAACGTATGAAAATTGAAAGAAATATTTGTTTTGAATTTGAAAACGTTTCCGGTGAACAATAAGATGTTCTAGAACACTTGCACACAGAAGATCAGAACAATCATTTGATTGAAAAAATCACAAAATCTGAACACAAATAATTGTTCTGTATTTGTAGAAAACATGCATCGCGAGCAGCCTCGAATATTAGTTAGCGTAATAACAATGCTAGTAATATACATGAAAAAATTTATTTAAGTTATTTATAAATTCAGTATAAATTATAATAATTATACATGGCAGAATACTGAGGACACGAAGTCCCTTTCGAGGTTAACTGCCATACGGCATAAGTATTAAAATAGAACAATTAGTATTATAATACAGAAGTCGACATGAACAAAGGTTCATAATATTAGCTCCGTATGACATTTAGGACAAATAATCTTATACGAACGAAGTTATCTTCATCGAAACATATGATAAGTTCTATGATATGAAAAGTTCTTTAATTAAGCCTTTTTCTAAACTCAATCAACGACACAGACTTTATATGCTGTCCGGTATAAAGCGTTCCAAATTTTGACAATACGTATAAAATATGAATCCCGAAAACTATAGTCTATAAGTTTTAGGAATACAATTTTGTCTCATGTAATAATAATAATAATATTTAATAATAATAATATTAATAATAATAATATTTATATTGCGCAAATTAACATGTTGTAGTATATGATCAAATGCGAACTGACAAAACAATTACACTAAAAGTATTCCATGCTGAATGGTTTCTAACTAAAAGTAAACGAGATTATATAGATTATATGTTACATGAAGTATTTACATTAAAGGCTTCTTCAAAGCATAGTTAATAAAATAGATGGTTTGGAAACTCATTAGAATAACAATATAACTCATTATCTATGTTAGTCAACGTTTATTTATAAATCTGGTCCTTCACCGTCACGTGTGTATTCTATTTTCGCCAAATCCACCCTATTGTTCGAGTCACGGTAGGTAACTTTCCTAAAGCATTAATTTACTATTGGTTAACTGGGTGAAGGACCATATTTATGAATAAACGTTGACTAACATAGATAATGAGTTATATTGTTATTCTAATGTAGTAATTAGTTTCCAAACCATCTATTCTATTAGTTCAAAGCCTTCTTGATGTACAAGGCTGATGCAGAACATCTTGTAACACCAGAACAGTAAGTTAAATAATTAGATAAATCTATAAAACCGTATCCAAGTATTCCTGGCAGTAACTAGACTAATACGGGGAATTAAGAATTCGTCAGTGGATGGCGGGGATCTTCAAAAGGGACCATACTATATTGAGTGTGGCGAGTTGACATATCGTTGCTGTGACAAAAAGTTTGGTGTGGTATCGTATAGTAAGGGGGGCGTCTGGGGATATTCTCTCCCAGAAAATGTTTGTAATTTTCAAACCCTAGGGCTGTTTCTTGTGCGTTTTCTGCATAGATATCTTATATACACTAGATAGTGCATCTAATTATTCTGCAATTCAAAAATTGAAGCCGTGATTGCAGACTCAGGATATTCCCATGAAATGAGAAGACTCGTATGTTTTCTATTTCTTAAACAGGGAACTTAAACAGTAAGTTAAACCTATTCCAAATACATTTTCAAACTTTTCAAATGATGAAAGTTATTGTGTTTTTTGAGCGTTTATTAGCGAGTGGGAAACTCCAACATGGCCGCCATCTATTCAACCATAACCGTAACATGGGCGTAACCGCTGGAATATTAAGATATCTATGGTTTTCTGAAACAGATTTTTATATACAGCGTTACGTTTTACTGTAGATAGACTGAATCTTCAATTAAGGCTGGGATATGCTATCCATCTGGATATTTTGTCTAATCTTAAGTATTTACAACACAATGTCATTGTTTAGCATTCTTAAAAAGACATTTGAAGATAAAAGACAGAACATAAGATTCACACATTATTCAAATCGAAGTTGAAATATTAAAATCGAAGTAAATCATTATATTTCGACTTAAAAAAACTGACACGCATAAATTTACATAATTGTCATAATTAATTTTGGCGGGAATCGTCATAAATAGATAGATATTATTTAAGTACAAACAGGCAGCTGGTAGTTGTCCAATGTCGAAGAGTTTTTTATTCATATTGTCGCGGACGGTATAAATCTTGAAGACATATACATAGGCGTACGAGACAGGGGCAGGGCAACTTTCGTATTTTTCATATTTTCACATTTGAATTTGGAGCTAGACTATTAGATTATTGGACTTAATCGACTGTGAATACAATCTAGTGGCAGAAATCTCGGCGGGGCTGGGTGGCGACCGCTCTGCCCCCCCCCCCACACCTTCACGGAAAATTGACGAATTTTCGGAAATTTTGACCTAAAAGAGGGCAACAGACTTTTGCAAATGGGGGGGGGGGTGTCGGAAAAATTGAATTTCCATCACTGCAATGCAATGCCGTTCCATGGTTCCTTAACTCCGTAGTCACTAGTCATGTTTTACTGACAACTCGCCATGCAAATGATGATACAAGACATGCTTAATCGGTTCGGCAACCGCTGATTTGATAAACAATCGCTAAAAATGATCCAGCGAGTGTGTAGCTGTAATAAATCTTTCCAACACGGATCAAACAGAAACTGCCAGTAATCAAGATTGCTGAAAACCTTATATCTCTACTAAGCATGAATTGATGCGTGCACCAGGCTTATTTAATCAATCACCAAGCTTTATCTACATTCTAAAGATTGTCAAATTGTTATAAACACAGAACATTCAACCTCACATGATCTTCATGATAAAAATACACTCAACATCACGTAATTAGTGGGAGTAATTGCTATTATTATCGGTTCTTATGCACAACTGGATACATGATTATGCTGGCTATTGGTATGCTTCAAAACACCCATTCTTCCACATTAGAGCATATAATCTCATCTTCAATTTATATGTTATTAATATCAAATACTTTTGTCGACTACAATAGTCGGCAATAATATTGATTTCCCCATAATTTTTCTCCAGAAATAAACAGATGACTCGTTCATATTAGCTCAGCTAGCAGAGAACTCGCCTGGCTTGAATGAGAGATCATGCCTTTTGTTAACACATACAAAACTTTATTTGTGTTCGTATGTGAAACAAGCTATCTCAGCCGCATGATGGGATCTCAGTCAAGTGGAATAAAATTTTACATATCAAGGCTTTATCGCTGCAACCGGCACAGACATTTTTGCCGATATTGACCTATAGGCTACGTGGCTCTACAAAGAGTTCGTTCTGACCTTCTTTTTCATCTGGCTTACCAGATGGCTTTACAGGGTCATTCGGAATATACTTTAATTTGGTAATTTCAGGACGAGATGGCACAGTTGGTGGTTTCTCTGGTTCACTGCCGGTTGGAGGTGATACATCATGGTTATCGTTTTAGGCCAAAAAGGGATAAGGTCATTTTAAAAAGCTAATTTTTTAAGTTCGTGTTTCCATCTGCTTTTTTATCGACTTTTTAATTAATGAAATAGTGTTAATTATTCTCATGATTTAAAAAAAAAATTCCAGAATTAGATTTGATTTGACATTTTTTATTATCCAAATAATTTAACAAATACTAAGAGAAAGCATTTTATCAAATAAAACATGCAGTTATCAAACTCTTTATTAAAATCGCAATATCATTGTTGCCATAACGGCAAAAATTTAAAATGAAAACTTTTTCGCCAAATAATTTTCGTGAAAAAATTTAGATGTTGTAAACATATTAAGTAAGATGCTCTTTATTTGAAACAAGTAATAGCTGTCCAAAAATGCGGAACTAAATCGTAAACTTTTCATTAAAAAAACTGTGTTGAGATACTTTAACGTGGAAATTGTTACCCAAAGACTTTCTCGTAACATTTGTTTACTAGTAGATATATATAAGAATTTTTCACGCAAATGATTGTTTCTAGTCAGGATCTTAGCATATTCCCCACCGTAGTCCTTTTCTATATCGCGTTTTAACTTATTCCGTTGATCCAAAGCCGCTGTCTTCGTCCTTTAAATTTTCTTGTATCATCCAACAACTGTATTTTTGTATTGTTCTGTAGATCCTGTATTTATTATTGATATATACTAATATACGGCTATGTTTGATGTACGTGACATAACACCAATGATTTAACGAAAAGCTGCATGCATGCTTTAAATTTGTTATATTTACATTTTCTAATGGAGCATTGTCAAATAAACGAAGCAAGAAAATTTGGTAAAATTAGGTCATTTCATGAATCTTCTTTTACAATGCCTCTAAAAACTTCGCGTGAAACCTCTGCGCATATAAGTAATTCGTGTCATAATGACCTTCGACGTGTCAAAATGCATACTTAAAATAAATGCTTTTGTATTGTATTGTAACTAAGTGCACGTGTTAATCAATATCATGATATCCACAATAATTTCGATACGTCATCATAACCTCCCCCTTGAGATAAACTTTCATTTCGATCTGTTTTTCTGTTTATTTGTTTGCTTCAAAGATATATGAGACAGCCCTCATAGATGTAAAATAACTAGAGGTATTGACCGTAGACTCAGCTGTATGTCGAGAGAGTTTAATCGTCTAATACTAATGAAAAGAAAACGCTCGTATCTTTGATGTTGATTCTGAAATTATAAGGGGAATATCATGGTAATATATCCGTTGATTTAAATTTTGAAAAGAGTTTAATATATACGACCTTGCGGAACAGTGAACCGTTTGAAATATATATAATGCTTCCGGAAGCAATTATATGCGAGTTAAATTTCACAATATGATTTTTACATATTCTCACTGATCACTTCCTATATAAAAGTTTAAGGCCAAACAGAGGTAAGGTAATTTTAAAAAGCTAATTTTTTAAGCTTGTGTTTCCATATGCTTTTTTATCGACTTTTTAATGAAATAATATTTCACACATGTGAAATGGAACATTATACCACCAGAAACAAGAGAGCCACAGAACCAAGAACACCAGCATAACCAAAAGAACCCGAAAAACCAAGAGAAACAAAATAACCAAAAGAAGCACAAGAACCACGATAACCAGTATAAAACAATAAAAAACAGATTAACCAAGAGAACTAGAAAGATCAAGGGAAACACACAAGAACAAAGAGAATCAGAGGACTAATAGAACCACAAGAACCAATTGGGTTAGCAACGTGTATGTTTTGCTGACCCTAGCTAATAATCCTCAAACTGAGGGGTTTGCTGTACTGGAAGATAAATAGAACCAGAGGACCACGAGAATCAAAAGAACCACGAGAACCAGAGGACTAAGAGAATAACAAGAACCAAAAGAACGAAATGAAGAGAACCAGAGGGAACAAGAGAACCAAGAGAACCAGTGGATCCAGAGAACCAAGAGAACCAAGAGAACCACGACAACCAAGAGGACCACAAGAACCAGAGAACCACGAAAACAACAAGAAATAAGAGAACGATGAACCAGAAGAACTAGCAAGCCAAGAGACCCAGAAGAACGAAGAGGAGCAGAAATTCAAGATGCTGAAGAAATGCAGAACCATAGGGACGAAAAAACCAAGAGAACCAAAATATGTTGCAAGAGCTATCAGCAAATGTTGCAAGTCTTTGTTATTTACTGTATTGCACGAAATTATATTGAAGAATGTTTGCAGTACTGTGAATGAATTCCATTTCACAAAGACAAATACATCATCACATAATACCCTTGCACTTAGACATTTTGTTACATCTGTATGATAATGCATTATGCTTTATTAAATATGTGAAAATTCTCAAGAACCAAAAATAGAAACGACAATCTTCGAAGAGTTATTTTTCATAAAAATATCACTTCATACAATTATACAATTATAAGCACTTAATTTCGGGATGACACCTAATTTCGGGATTAATTTTGTAATTGTCTTTGTAGTTTTATTCCGGTCGTTTAGTACAGATATTGAACATGGTAAGTTCAAGGTTAAAGATTTGTAATGTAGACCACGTCGAAGAATTTTAAAACGTCATGCAATTGACAAAGTGTTTAGCGAATGTGTAATAGTGTTGAACGAGTTTTAAATTTTTCACGAATATGTCGTCTGATCTGAGTGGAATGTATATTGTGCAACTTGAATTTGTTGACTTTCAGTGCGTTCATGTCGTTTCAAAATAACCCGGCAGGCCCTGAACTTTGGAAGTTTTCTTTAAGTTCTACCGTTAGTTATCTAATATACTGAGGGAGGAGCGCAAGGCTAATTATAAAGAGGTACTTAATTGACTTGATGAAGAAGATGCTTGATTCAAATATGTGAAAAAATTGTTTGCATTTCTATAGAGATACCATGACGATAGATAGTATTTTAACTTTTCTCGTTAATTGTCCTCAATTGACATAACATTTCGGAAAATTCTTTTTTGTTAACGAGTTGGAAGGCAATGTTTCATTATCTCGTTAAAAATATTGGTAATTATCTTATAATATTAAAAATATTACTGGATGTCTACTTCAGACATCTATTCCTTCTTGTGACATTTTCACACCCTTTCACGTAATTCTGCGACGTTTTGAACGAGGCTTTGGCTGCATGACGGAGCTTTATAAACATTTTGTGACGAGAAGGGAATAAAACGAAGAGTTGTGTGGACTAGTTTCTTCGCTACCCATAATAGGCTACAAAGCAGTATATCTAAGGTGAAGAGTTAATTTTTGTCAAAAATATTTTTGCTGTTTCGAATTCGTAACCCCAATTACCTGCCCGCAGCCCGTTATTCACCCAAATATTGACGTCCCATGCAGCGTCTTTTAATGACAAATCTCTTAACAACAACCTTGGCATTTATTCTGATTATAGTATACTGTAGCCAATAACCTTTAATAGTTGAATATAAATTGATGAATTAAAAATCGGGACAAAAAATGATCGCACTACCATTACTGTAGTCAAAACTTATCCCATATTTTAGTTAAATGATTCCTTCATTGGCATGCTTTCTCATTACAGCCGCTTACTTAGAATGATTCTGAACGTCGTGCATCAGTCTGCATTTTAACATCTATTTTAACCATCATTTTAACATCCACGCATGTCCAATTACTGTCGAAATGATACGGGTCGTGAAACAGCTCCACGACCCGTCAAATTCGATCAACTATATAGTAAACGCAATAGGTGGTCTCCAATAGCGGATGCTTGTTGCCCAGATAGTACCAACAG